ACCAGAGCCCCCTAGGAAGAAAGAATTTCGCTTTGATCTTAGTTGGCTGAGCAATAATTTTTTTTTGCATAAGGCCAGAGAAATCTGGGAGCAGCCTGTTAAATCGAATGACCCCATTGACATCCTTAATATCAAGTTGAAAAGGTTCAAAAAATATTTTAAAGGATGGGGGTCCCATATTTTTGGTCACGAGAGGAAAAGGAAGAAAGAGATTCATATAGAGCTTGAGGAGATCGAAAAGGTAGAGGAAGATGGGATTATTGATGCAGAAAACTGTTGTCGTAGAGCCTCGCTCTTGGCTGAGCTCAATGTCATTCTAACTAATGAAGAGTTGTTTAGACTCCAGCAATCTAGAGAGAGATGGCTTTTAAAAGGTGACCAAAACACTGCGTACTATCATCACATTGCGAATGGTAGAAAACGTAAGAATACTATCCAGTCCTTCACTGATGGGGATGATGTGATCGAGGGCACACAAAATTTACTTGATCATGCAACCTCATACTATAAGGAGTTGTTTGGGGCCGCACCAGGCAATATTTTCCACCTTTCTCCTGATACCTGGGGGGGACATGAGAAGCTGAACAATCAAGATAATAAATGTTTGATCCGTCCCTTCTCTGAGGAAGAGGTCAGGACAGCTTTGGTTGGCATGGAGAGCAATAGAGCTCCTGGGTATGATAACATACCAGCTGAGTTTTATAAAGCTTGATGGGATTTTGTTAAGGTAGATATCATGCGCATCTTTGAGGCCTTCCATAATGGAACTTTGGATGTTGCCCGGCTGAATTATGGTGTAATTACACTGATTCCTAAAATGACAGGGGCTAAGAAAATCCAACAATTCCGCCCCATCTGCCTACTTCGCTGCCCCTATAAACTAATTACAAAGGTGTTGGATAACCGGGTAGCTATCTATGCGGATAAACTAATCAGCCGCCGCCAAAATGCCTTCATTAAAAACAGAAACATCATGGATGGGATTCTGTCTTTGCATGAGGTGCTACATCATACTCACAGCAAAAAGAAAATTGGAGTGGTTTTAAAGCTTGATTTCGAAAAAGCTTATGACAAAATCAACTAGGATTTCCTTCTGGAATGTCATAGGATAAGGGGTTTTAACGATAAATGGTGCGAATGGATTAAAAATATCCTGAATAATGGCACGGTGAGCATTAAGTTGAATAATGATACTGGGCCTTACTTCGTGAGCCGCAAAGGGGTTCGCCAAGGTGATCCCCACTCACCCTTCCTGTTTAATCTAGCGGTTGAGTGTCTCTCGAAGATGATCTTCAATGCTCAAAAAGAGAAAATGATTACTGTCTTAGCCCCTGACATTATTGAGGGGGGTGTTGCTGTATTGCAATACGCAGATGACACAGTGTTATGTTTTGGACATGACACCTCTGCTGCAATAAACCTCAAACTGCTCCTTTATATGTTTGAACTTATGTCAGGTCTGAAAATTAACTATCTCAAAAGTGAAATCCTGTGTGTGGGGGGTGATAACAATATCCTTTCTTACTATGTGGATCTTTTTAATTGCCAAATTGGTCACTTTCCTATGCGTTACATAGGAGTGCCAGTTAGTTTCTCCTCTCTTAGATGCCTTGAGTGGATCTTTGTTGATGAGAAATTTGGCAAATGTTGTGAAGCCTAGATAGGCAATGCTGCTTCATCAGGTGGCAGGCTTACGCTACTAAATTCATCCTTGTCTAGTATAGTTTTTTACTATATGGCTATGTTCCTTCACCCTAAAACCTTCATTGAAAAACTGGACAAGAGGAGACGTCGGTTTTTCTGGCAAAGTTGGGAGGGACGAAAAAGATATCACTTGGTCCGTTGGAGCAGAGTGTGCCGCTCCAAAGACAAAGGCGGTTTGGGTGTGAAGGACTTACATAAACAAAATATCAGCCTCCTAGTGAAATGGTGGTGGAAACTGGATACTCAAAATGGGCTTTGGCAAGATATCGTTAAGGCCAAATACTTGAAAAGGGATACGGTTGGTACGGTGAAAAGCAAGTTCAATGATTCTCCCATCTGGAAAAATATTATGAAAGTAAAAAATTACTACATGTGGGGGAGAACAGTCCAGATTAACTCGGGGGATGTAGCTCAAGTTTGGGAGGACTCTTTGAATGGAATGCCTCCTATGTGTGTTCAGTATCCACAGTTGTTTAGCATCTGTAATCTGCCTAAGATTACAGTTGACAAACTGGGAGGAGTGGAGGCCGGCGATATGTTTCGCAGGAGGCTAAACCCCCCTCTCGAAAACATGTGGAATGAGATGTGCACGACTGTGTTGAATACTATCTCTTCAGCTGAACTAGACCAGGTTGGCTGGGCTCCTGGACCTAAACACCGCTTCACTACTAAATCCATGTACAAGTTGCTTGAAAGCAACATTGCACGGTGTGACTACCGGTGGATTTGGAAAGCCAAAATTCCCCTTAAGATCAAAATCTTTATATGGCAGTTGTTTCAGGACGCGGTCCTGACGAGAGATGTTATGAAACGTCGAAAATGGCCTGGCAATGCTAAGTGTTCGTTTTGTGCTGCCCATGAGACGGCGCAACATCTTTTCTTCCTTTGCCCAGTTGCCAGGGTGATCTGGCGATCGGTGGGAGCAGTCCTGGGCACTGACTTATGTCCCAATAACATTTGGCAATATTACACTTGGTGCTATATCTATCTTCCTGATGGTGCTAAATTCTATACCTTCGGCCTTGCTGCCATCTGCTGGGCAGTATGGAACTATCGTAACAGAGCAACCTTCGAGTTTAAGCTTCCTAAAACTCCTTTTGAGATTGTGTTTTCCGCTTGTGTCTTCATCACCTACTGGGCAGGTCTCTTGAAGGGGGCAGACCGTGAGGCGATGGAGCGTGAGTCACAAATGCTGAGGAGCAGCACAAGCAACATGACGATGATCTGCGCCGCTGCGACAGAAGATTCGGCGACAACTTGATGGAGCGCGTCCTCAACCTCCATCTACTCTCCCCTGGTCCAGGAGGACAGGGCTGCTTTTGTGTTCACTCCTACGCGAGGATGTGGCCTGATGAGTCGTGTACTTTGCATAATATGTTGCCGGTGTGCGTTGGTTGTTGAGAACTGTAGGTGTCGTCGGGTTTTCGCCCCACAGCAGGTGTCTCGTAGGCGAGTTCCTGTGGTGGGTTTCCCGGCGATGCGTTGAACTCGCTTTCCCCTTTCCCGTCTCCTTCTCTAGTGTTCTAAGACTGTTGTATTTCCGTTATTCGGTTAATGGAAAGGGGTAATGCCCGGTTCAAAAAAAAATCAAGCTTTGAATTTGTGTTTTGTATGTGTTAGCAGATGCACTTTTTTCAAAATAACCATGATGCAGTTTTCGGTATGTGTTCCAGTGTTAACTGTAGTTTCCATTCCTGGTTCACTGTAATTTCGACTGTGGTTTAATGTAATTACATATATACAATAGTTTCAGTGTAAACTCGTTGAACTTACAGTGTAATTTATATTCTCGTTCACTGTAATTTCCATTCTTGTTTACTGTAGTTATATATTTACAGTAGTGTCAGTGTTAGCTCATACAACTTACAGTGTAATTTCTATTCTCGTTCACTGTAATTTCTATTCTGGTTCAGTGTAATTTTGTATATACAGTAGTTTCAGTTTTAACACACTGAACTTACAGTGTAATTTCTATTCCTGTTCACTGTAATTTATATTCCGGTTCAATGTAATTCTATATATACTCCTACAATAGAACTTGCAGTGTAATTTCTATTTTTTTGTTACAGTGTGATTTCTATTCTGCTGTTCTTGCAGTGAGATCTCTTTTGACCTTGTGTGTTTTTAGAGCTGTTTTTACCTTGTGCTTTTGTGAGAAGTACATAAATGTAGATGTCTTTTTTGGTCTTTTTGCCCCTTTGACTCTGGCAATTATGAACAGGCTTGCAGGCTTTTTTTTTGGCCCCATTGGTTCAGGTGTTTCTCAGATGTTGAGCATGTAGGCTTCCCCTGCCCCTCGTTTATGTTTTTTTGTTTTTGTAGCGGGACTAGTCCGGCCGGTCGAATTCGTTTGGCCACCCGGTAAACGTGCGTACGGATAAGGCCCAGGCGTGACAATAGATCATCATGAAGAAAAGACATACAACGCGGCAGGTACATGGACGTACAAAAATTCGACTGAAGCTTAATTAAATTTCAGTCGGATGTTAAATAGACAGTCCCATAAAAAATACGAGTGTGTGCAAAAATGTGTGGAAGTGTTCAGCTTTTACCGCAAGAAAATACGAAGGTGCTTTGTGGAAAAATGTGTGCCATCACTCGTTGACAGATAGAGCCCTACACACAGATAGGTCTGCATACGCGTTTTATGATCGTATCTGCATGCTTAAATCAAGTTAAGTGACTATAATTCCGTATTTTCAAAGTTGTAGCATTAAACTGAACGTGTGAAGGCGTGTTATCCGCACCGCGTACTCGGGCGCGCGCGATGGCGATGCAACGCGCAACGGGGGCACGTCACAATCGTCACAACCCACGGCCACGCGCTCGGCATCGTCGTGCACTCGTGCCCGTGTGGCCGTGACGAACAGCCCACCACTCCGTCCCAGCGCAAACACCGCGTGTCTCCACAGCCACAGCCTACACGTCTCGACAACCACTTGACGAGTTATCACGGTGAGCTCTCCAGCCGGCGGGGCCAAGTCAGAGACGAGATCGACGGAGAAGAGGAAAAAGGAAGAAGGATAGAGAAACACGGACGAGTGGCGGACAGAGGGAGCTGGTCCAGGACGCGGCCCCCGCCTGTCCCTTTCCATGACCCCCTGTCCTGCGCCGCCTGGCCCGGTCCAACGGCTACCCCGAGACACCCAGCTCCAACCTCCAACGGCTCGACCCGCCCACGATCCCGTCTCCCAGTATAAACCACCTCGCCGCGCCCTCCCACGGAACCCACTCCCACGCCCACCCCCAACGCGTCCACAGAAGCACAGGAGTCGTCCAAGAAAGAAGCACTCACCATGGCCGGCTGCTGCGTCTTCCTCCGGCGGCCGTCGACCGCGTCCGCCTACCGCCTCGGGTACCACTCCCTCGACGGCGACCAGGAGGCCGCCGGCCCGCCCCCGCCCCCGGCGACGGTGACGGTGGTGGTCGGGAAGGAGCGGCGGGTGTTCGCGGTGGACCAGCTGGTGCTCGACACCTACCCGTTCCGGGTGCTCCTGGAGACGGCGGCCAGGAAGGAGGAGCGCAGGGGCAAGGCCCTCTTCGTGGACGTGGACGCCATCCTCTTCGAGCACATCCTCTGGCTCGCCGGCTGCCACGACCGCTCCGCCGTCTCCCTTCTCCAGCCCGACCTCCAGGACATCATCGACTTCTACTCCCAGGACGCCTGAAGACCATCATCTCATCACATTCTTTGTTGTTCAGTCTACCCATTCTTTTATTTTTCTTCCTCTTCTTTTCCAGATGCTAGTGTGCATAATGTTCAGATCATCTGTTATAAGTTACGACAGTGAGATAAAAAATACTATAGTAAATTGTAGAAAGAATAAATCTCTTGGTCGCTACTGAACCTCGATGCATTGCAGCTGTCTTCCTAGTTGCTGGCACGCACGTCCTTCATCTGAACATTTTGATCTCCTGTTCTTTTTCCATCATCTCCAACGCGTCTGCATGTCACAACGCGCTTACTTGTACTGCTCACTTTCACTCGGTCCGGCAAGAACATGTCAACTGTCCACTGCTTGCTCAGAAGCCGGGCCACCATGATATATGTTACTCTCTGAAGTCTGAAAAAATGGTGACACAACACGTCGAACAGCTTGACCACTTCGCTGCCATGATCTTGGCGATGGAACCATAGTCGCGTTGCCGACCACGGGACAGCGACATGCCGAGTTTTATAAACCCAGCACGATTGGTGGGTGCCTAACGAGACAAAATGCAGCGCTACTTCCAGGCAAGAACATCCGTTGGTGTGTGTGTGTGCGCACCGGACTCCAGCTTTTTGTTTTTGTTTTTTTACCATGCAATGATGCTTAAGGTTTGAAGCAATATAGAGATAATCAGGAAGCAAATAACATGAGCATGTGCATACACGTTGGTTTACTATTGAAGCAGAGAATGGAAAGAATTTTTCAGCATGTTTTGTTTATTTTATTATTTGTTGAAGAAGCACCTAATGAAAACTTATGAAGCTTCACAAAACTATGTAGGAAGCAAGTAATGAACTGCGTACATAACACAAAGGCACAAATGTCGAAAGATGATCTTTTATATTTGTTGCATAATATAAAGTTTTTTTATGGGTGCATAATTTAAAGTTTGTACGAATCCATATATGTTGCACCGCTATTTTCATGTGAAGCAACAAAATTACAAGTAAACTGAAAAACTACTACTGAAGCATAGGCGTGATTCAAGGGTGCAGTTAGGGCATGTACAATGGTTGATAAGATAGTTTTATCTTAGATCTTGCATGTAATTAAGAGATGACACAAAAAGATGTCTACAATGGGTCATTTCTTAGCCTTATCTTCATAACTAGTTATTCCTAAAAACATGGTGACACATATTGTGCTAAGATATCATCTCTTGTCTTATCTTAAATAAGAGAAGACAAGTCTTTTCTTATGAGTTCTCTCTCCTCCACCTCATTATTTATCCTACGTGACACTCCTAAGATAGCACCATTGTACATGCCCTTACCAAAACTACTGAAGCATAGGCGTAATTCAAGGTTGCAGTTACCAATAGGAAGCAATAGGCACGGTGCATTTATATGGAAGCAGAATAGAAGGTCCACGTCCTGAGCACTAATAAACTTGTAATTAACTTGCTAGGTTCTCTCAAATCTAACGGTGGTAGGCTGGTCCATGCTGGTCTGATGGGGCGCTAGGATCAGTAGTCTGATCCCTAGCGGTGCCCTCCTTCCTTTTCATGAGAAACCTTTTTTTCTTGAGACAATCTCACAAAGCCTTTAGTCGCATTTTTTTTATTTTAGAGAAAAGCCTTTAGTCGCATGAGATTTTTTTAGGGGAAAGCCAATTTATTAATCAAAGTCCACACGAGGTGGGATACAAACTTGGTCATGGGGTTGGCCAAGCCACACATGACGTCCCTTCGAAAGGGAAAGAGCAAATCTTGCTAGTTTATGAGCTTCTACATTAACTACCAGACTTTTAAAAATGAAATTACAAGAAAAAGGAATGGCTCTAGTCTTGATCTCCGCCACAATAGCTCCATATGGACCCTGGCTCCCTTTGGAAATATCCTCGATGACTTGCCTGCAATCAGAGGAAACAATGAATCGATGTAGACCAAGATCTTGGGCCAAGGCAATTGCTTCCCTACATGCGATGGCTTCTAGTGTTGTTGGGTCACAAACGCCAGCAATTATCAGAGCTAAGCTGCCTAGGTAGGCTCCTTGGGTGTTCCGGCATATAGCTGCTGCCGACCCGCCTCTGTCGGTGCGAACCGCTGCGTCGACATGGATCTTTGCATAATTGGCAGGTGGGGTGCTTGGTCTTGGAGCTGCTTGATGTACCCTTGGTGCAGTATTTGGTGTTGGTTTAGTCACCCGTACTTGGTCTAGATCAACGATGAAGCGATTTATGAATGCATGTGTAGCATGGGTGAAAGATCGTGGATGTATTACTTGCCTGCTGAGTTTCGTGCTGTAGATGAGGAAGGGGAGGTGGCTTAGCTGGATTTTGGCCCTAAAAACGTGATATTCGAGAAGCCAAAAGAACCAGTAACGCATCTGAAACCATTATATCTCAGAGGTCATATCAATGGGTCGCCGCTCACTCGGATGCTTGTTGATGGTGGTGCTGTGGTAAATCTTATGCCCTATTCGGTCTTCGAGAAATTGGGTTTGCCTGATGAAGAATTGATCAAGACCAATATGGTGCTTAACGGGGTTGAAGGCAAAGAGAAAACTGAAGCCAAAGGTGTGATGTATGTGGAGCTTACAGTCGGAAGCAAAACTTTGGCTACTGCATTCTTTGTCGCCGAGGTGCAAGGTAACTACAATGTCATACTAGGCCATGATTGGGTTCATGCAAACCAGTGCGTGCCATCCACTATGCACCAGTTTTTGATTCAGTGGGTTGATGATGAAGTGGAAGTCATTCATGCGGATAACTCGGCCTGTGTTGCTTTGGCCGATGCGTCGGTGGATTGGCAACATCCCAATTCTACTTGCTTGATGGGACGTGACTTATCAGAGTTTGATTTTCTCAGCGCAACCAAGAATGGTTTTGTGCCCGTCTCTTTAAAGCCGACTGAATGCAATCGGCTCCAAGGTATGATATGTTTAAATGGATTCTAGCTCTGAGTGGTTACAAAAACGTCTTGTGAAATATCGGTCTAGCGAGAACGATATGTATGAGTCTATAGAGGAGTTGGATGACATGGATAAACTTGGACAAGGTTTTACGTCGGCCGATCCATTAGAAGAGGTAGATATTGGAGATGGTTCAGTCACTCGACCGACATTTATAAACAAAAATTTGAAAGCCGATTGTAAAGCTAAGTTAATCGAGTTATTGAAAGAATATGTTTGTTGCTTTGCATGGGAATATCATGAGATGCCAGGGTTAAGCAGAGAGCTAGTGGAGCATCGGTTGCCTATAAAGGCCGGTTTTAGACCTTATAAACAGTCGGCCAGAAAATTTAATCCGAAAACATATGACCGGATCAAGGAAGAGATCGGTCGACTGCTTGAAGCTAATTTCATTCGACCTTGCAGGTACGTCGAGTGGATTTCTAACATTGTCCCAGTGGAGAAGAAAGGATCCGGCAAGTTGAGGGTGTGCATTGATTTCAGAGATTTGAATAGGGCTACACCCAAAGATGAGTATCCTATGCCAATAGCCAATATGCTTATTAATGATGCTTCTGGGCATAAGGTTATTAGCTTTCTAGATGGTAATGCCGGATACAATCAAATTTTTATGGCCAAAGAGGACATGTACAAGACTGCTTTTCGATGCCCTGGTTTCGTTGGTTTATTCGAGTGGACAGTGATGACATTCGGATTAAAAAATGCTGGAGCCACATATCAAAGGGCTATGAATTTGATTTTCCATGATTTACTCGGTATTATACTTGAAATTTATATTGATGATATTGTTGTCAAATCGGATGCTTTTGAATCTCACTTGGCTGATTTGCGTTTAGCTTTTGAAAGAATGAAAAAGTATGGACTGAAGATGGATCCTTTGAAGTGTGCTTTTGGCGTGTCAGCTGGCAAGTTTTTGGGTTTCATTATTCATGAAGATGGCATAGAGATTGATCCCAAAAAGATAGAGGCTATACAGAAAGTGGAGGCTCCAACATGCAAGAGAGATATGCAAAAGTTCCTTGGCAAGGTCAACTATTTGACAAGGTCCATAGCTAATCTGTCAGGGAAAGTTGATGCATTTACTCCTATCCTTCGGTTAAAGGATGATGCTGATTTCACTTGGGGGGCAAAACAACAAGAAGCATTTGATATGATCAAGAATTATTTGTGCACTCCTCCGGTGATGAGAGCACCCAAGCATAGGGAACCCTTCAGACTTTACATTGCAGCAGAGGAAGAAGTTATTGGTGCTGTTCTAACTCAAGAGACCGAAGGAAAAGAGCATGCCATCACTTATTTGAGCCGCCGCTTATTGGACGCAGAGACAAGGTATACATTTATTGAGAAATTATGTCTATGCTTATATTATGCTTGCACAAAACTAAGACATTATTTAGTGCCGAGTGCTTGTGTAGTAGCTTGTCAAACTGATGTCATTAAATACATGTTGCATAGGCCAATTCTTAGTGGTAGAATTGGCAAGTGGGCTTATGCTTTGATTGAATATGATTTGGCTTATGAATCTCTAAAGTCCATGAAAGGCCAAATTGTTGCTAATTTCATTGTTGAACATCGGATTTATGACAAGCATGATGTTGATATGAACCTTATTTCATTAGTACCATGTATATTATACTTTGATGGGTCAGTTTGTAGCAATGGCCAAGGTGTTGGTGTTGTTTATATATCTCCTCATGGTGCTGTTTTTGAAGCCTCATGCCGCTTAGAATATTTTTGCACAAACAATCAAGCCGAATATGAAGCATTGTTATTCGGCCTAGAGATGTTACTTGCTATAGGTGTTACACATATTGAGGCTTATGGTGATTCATTACTAGTGGTACAGCAAATATCCAAAGTCTTTCAGTGTTTGGACGAATCACTTAATGTTTATCTTGATAAATGTCTAGATATAATCTCTACTTTGGATTGTTTTAGCATTGCACATATATCTAGACATGACAACTGGAAAGCAAATGAGTTGGCACAACAAGCATCTAGATACCATGTTGATCATGGCATGTTTCATATTTCTCAAAATCCGAT